CGGGGAGCTTCCTTCCGGGTGCTGGGACCAGCTGAGCTTCACTCCCTTTTTCTGTTTCTTGAAGTAACTTGAGAAAGTTCCTGTTTCCTTTCCCTAGTAATCAAAAATCCCTGACCAAGACAAATAGTGGTCAGAAAGGTTAACTGAAGGCTATTAACCAAGTCACCATTCACCTTCCGAAGGTAAGAAACACCTACAAACCTCTGTGTCATTGTCAGGTAATGATGCCACCTACTATAGGAAATGTTTGGATTTTAGCCGCTGTTCCCTTCCTTTCTGGTAACAGAACCACAATTGTATTTTGGGGAGTTATAGCCATTAAATTTAGCCTCTGGAGGATTAATAAAATTAGCCTACCTTCCTCTAGCCAAAGGATGGGCGCGTTCTCTCCTGGGATTTGACTTGAGTAAAGTTATGCAAGTGAAAAAAAATATTTTTTTTGGTTGAAAATCTGCCTTAGGAAGGTATTCAGCTTTAAGCCACAGACAGCCCCACTCAGAGTAGTGTAAAAGAATAGTCTGATATCCTTGCATAAGCTGTCCATTGAGAAGCAGCTGCTAGCATTAGTTCAGTTGCTCAGCAATATTGGGTTTGATGTTTAGGTGATATTCTTAGTTTTGACTTCATGAACACAAAGTGATTGCAGAAGTTCCCCCATTGTACCCAGGTTCAAGACAGTAAGAGAAAATGAAGGGAAAACTTCAGTTGTTTCTTTCCTTTTACTAGGAAAGTAAAATTTTCCCAGAAAACCCCAAACTCTCTTCTGGTCAAATCCTCTGGGTGAAACTGTTTTGTGGCCACCCCTTGTGGGGATGGGGGATAGGCAAGGTGAACGTTTACTTTTTCCAGCCTCTTGGGCTAAAGTCAGCAGGGAGAAAGGGTTGACAATAGTGAGATTCCAGCCATCAGCTTCTACCACCTCACACTGGCCATACTGAAGAGGCCCATTGACTCCTTCCTGTTCCCAAATCCCTGAGGTTGTCCTGCTCTCTGCACCTTCTACATCTAGTTCTTAAGCTTGCAGTGCCATGAGTTATCTCATAGTCCTCCGATAAAAATCTCTGCCAACTGATGGATAGAAAATTCTGACCTACCCTGTAAATGTTCCCCTCGAGATGACGTGAAAATATGCAACAGCCAGCGTCTGCTGTAAAGTCAGCTCAGGGTAGCGCAGCTAGTTCATGCTGGTTGATGGGGCTTAAACCAGGGTCTCTCTTCTCCCAGGCATGTCCTACCTGCATGTCCTACCCCACTACACTACTTCTCAGGAGTCAGTTTATCAAAAAAAACCCTCTTTTTTGACTCTGCAAGCACACTGGAAAAAGTCTCACCAGGAAAAAAATATTTAAGAGCTGGACTACATTTTTTAGAAACTTTCTTGAAATAGCACTGTGCAGGGAGGTGGAAATGCCTAAGCCCCCAAGTCCAGACCAACACAATGGTTAGTTCAGATGGGTAATAAAGAAAAACTGTTCTGGGTTTCTTAGACTAGCTTGGCTCTTAAATATTGGCACAAATGACTCCCAGTGAGAGCCAGGAAGACCACAAAGGTGCCTTGCCCTGAGCCTGGGGGCGGTGGGGAAGTGGTGGGGAGGAGTGGTGAAGAGGTGGGGCCCTGGAGCCAGCCTGCCTATTGGGAATGCCAGCTCTGCTAACTGGTCACAGGACCTGGGCGCAAGTCACCTGCCAAACCACATGTATCTCAGTTTCCTTGTGTGTAATGGGGGATAATAGCACCGACAGATTTGGGTTGACAGAAACATTAATGAGGGAGGGAAGGAGGGGAGGTTCCTTTGAGTTAGATTCAAGCTTTCTCTGTCTCTTCACTGACCTGGGTTTCCTGGACCTTTGTTTGCCAACAACAACTCAAAAGGTTTTGCTGACTCTACTGTGCCTTGTTATTACAGAATTGGGACTTTACTTGCAGAGTAGGTCTTATCTCAGTATTTTTTTTTTAATCAGGAACTTGAGTTTACTTGTGTAGTTGTTGGAGCAAACATTTTTGGTCAACTTCTTATTTAACCAAACAACTTATGAATTATTTTTTAACTAAACTGCTCCGTATAAAATCTATGTAGATTATTGTGGAGTTGTGGAGGATCTGTAAATTGTTTATCCTTTAATGGATACAGTCAAGTAAAAACATAATTCTCTTGCAACATTTAAAGCACATAATGCAAAAACCTCTTTCCTTCTAGGGCTGATCAACATGTAATACCAAGAGCACCATACCATGTCCAAGTACTTAGAATGCCACATTTAATCTTGCCAGTCCAAGTGAGTGAGTGCCATTGCTCTTTCCATTATATACATTTTAAAAATAGGTTCAGAAAGGTTCATGCACACAATCAAGAACATGTGAATCGAGGGCTTGGTCCCAGGTTTGAGTCCAGAATCCTGGCTCTTACCATCACTACAGTTCTGTAAGAATTAAAAAAAAAAATTTTCCTCTACACTTTTAGTTCCTGTAGCCAGGGCCTGTGAACTAAATTGACAAAAGCAGATTAACAGAAGGACAGGTTCATTACTCATGCACTTGGGGGCTTCACAGAAAGAAAGTGATTACCCACAGAAGTGGTTATGCTTGAGAGCTTATATACCATTTTAACAAAGAGTGATGCACAGAGAAGTGACAGGTCAAAGGAAAAGGATTTGGGTTTCTAGGGCCAATGGAGTGTGGGAATAGCAAAAAATGGTGAAACGAATGCAAAGTGCAGGCTCTTTAGTAAGGTTCATTACATAGACTCAAGTTAGCGTCCCCTCCAGTGATGAGCCTGTCCCCTGGCATGAGACAGGTAAGGAGAGACAGTTTCACAAAGGAAAATAGATGTTACCTTTACAGAGGGAACTTTATCTCCTCCTTGGAGGAAGAAAGGGGAGTTCTTGTTCACCTGCTTTCAAGCCAAAAGAATTCTGATGTCAAAGTGGCACTTTTTTTGTTTTGTTTTTTGGTACTGGAGATCAAACTCGGGTCCTCGCACTTGTGGGGCAGGTGGCTGAACCACTGAGCTAAATCCCTGGCCCCAAAGTGGCATATTTTAGATTAGTATATTCTGATCTCCATAGTTCCCATACACATGACATTATTTTATTTTTTATTTATTTTATTGTATTTTTTTTGGTACCAGGGACCAAACTCTGGACCTTACACTTGCAAGGCAGGCGCTGGAACCACTGAGCTAAATCCCCGGCCTCATGACACTATTTTAAAAGTTTCCAAATCTTTATCCAGCCTTATAATATGCTGAGAATTATGGGACACTTGGGATGGCTTCTTGCTCTCAAGAAGTTCACAGGTCAGTGTAAAGTTTCAGATAAGCCCTCAACCGGAGCACTCCCCCTTACATTTGGACAGTTTCCAAGTTTTCAAGTGCCTCATACACATTCTTCCGCCTTCTGCTTGATAATCTCAAACAACCCTATGGGGAAGCCTGACTTTTTTATTTCTACTACATAGAAAACTGACTCAGATTTTAAGCAACTTGCTGAAGGTTACCCAGCTTGGATACCCTGACTTTACTTTGCTGTTATACACATACATATACACATGAATATGTATATAAAATATGCATATAAACATTTTCATAAATTATGAAAAAAATATATATTTTTTCAGTGTCACCCAAAAGCTCCTGCACCCCCACGTGGGGCTTTTGGGAGTGGATGGAACATGGGTGTGTGATACCCATGATATCAGTGGATTAGTCCACTGATAGGTTTAACATAGTTCTGGATGTGGATAATGGGAAGGCCTACCCTGGGTGTGGGTGGCACCATCCAGTAGGCCTGTAGGCTGCTTTGGATAAAAGGAAAAGGAAGGCTTGCTACTTGCTCCTGTCTGTCCTGCCATGGACTGTTTCTTCTCTGTCATGCTGCCCTGCCTTGGAACCAGGCAACTATGGACTGAAGCCTCTATATACTGTGAGCTGAAATGAACCTTTCTTCCTTTAACTTGTGGGTGGCAGGTATTTTGTTTCAGCCATGGGAAAGTAAGACACACACATACAGTTCACTTGTGGAGCTAGTGCTACATGTGATCTTAAGTAACCCCCACCCATCCTTGTGTATCACCCAATAATAATTGCTTCCTATCAATCCAACGCTAATACAGGCTATGCATAAATGAGCTGGTGACGTCCCTTGGACACAGTGCCAAGGGCTCAAGAACAAAGTGTGAGGGGTTTGAGGTGGGCCCAGGAGGATTTCCTTTTGGTGGTTAATTTGTTGTCTGTCAGCTCCAGATAACTTACGCGTTTGAGAGAGAACTGCACTTCACTGAAAACATTCTTTGCTTCCAGGCCATTGCAAGTCCAGATGAGGTTCCCATTTTCCAGATATTCCACGATACTGCTAAGTTTGGCAGAAACATAAGTTGGCTCTAATAGCCATTCCCTAGCAATCCTCTTCTCCTTTGCCTCCCAGTGTAGGGAATGAAAAATTAGCACTCACTTTCTCTGGGCGGTCAGTGAGGCCAGGAAGAAGCCAGCTGGGAGGGCCAGGGAAGGCTGTTAGGAAATATGCTCTCCCTCATAAAGGGAGAGGAAGGCTGAGCAAAGTTTACTCCTGCAGCCTTGGCCAACTCCCCGCTTCCTGCTTTTGGGTACAGATTAGGATGTGACAGCAGGAGGCTTGGGGACCCAAGAGGCAGAGGGAGGAGCCTCGGGGCCAGGCCGGGCCGGGGGCGGGGCTACGGGGCCTCTGCCAGCAAAGTGGAAGCCAAGGGCCTGCCTTGAGGAGAGGCTTTGCCCCAACAGCAGCGAGGCCATGCTTTCAATGGACAGCCCAGGTTCTGGGGCGTGGCCTCCGAACTTCAGTTCCCCGCCCACTCGGGGCGGGGCGGGGGCGAAGGAGTGGGCCCGCTCCTTCGGGGCGTGGCCTGTGGAACGTGGGACGCCAGTGAGTCAGAGCCTTGGCGCGAGTCTCCCGGCGCGGGGTTCCTCCCACGCACACTCATTCAAAAGATGCCGAAGGTGCGGCGCGGCAGCCGGAGTCCCAGGATGAGCCAGCGGCCGGCACCGCCCCGCTATTTCCCGTCCCTCTACGACGGTGGCATCTCCTCCTCTCCGTTCAAAGAGTTCAACATCTGGGAGAAGCTCTTCGAGCCGCTGAAGGCGGGCGGGGCGCCGGCGGGCGAGGAGGCGGGGGACGGACCCCTGCCCCAGGTGCCCTTCGCCCTGGAGCCCCGGCCGCCGCCTGGCGTGGGTCCCCCCGGCGAGTGCCCCTGGCCCTCAGGCCTGGCCTCCATCCCCTATGAGCCTCTGTGCTTCTACTCGCCGCCGCCGGGCCCTGAGGTGGCTCCCTCGCCCACGGCTCCCAGCCCCGCGGGCTCCCCGCTCGCCTCTGCCCTCCACCCCGAGGAGTTGTGCGAGCTGGAGATCCAGATTAAGGAGCTGGAGTTGCTCGACATCATTGGGGACGGCTTCGACTCCCAGCGCTGTGGGTGACTTCGCCAGGGCCACCCGAGCCCACCCTCCCTGGTTGGCCCCACAAGGTGGCTATAGGCGCACACTCGAGCCCTCAGGAGTCCCTGATCCAAAATCTGTTCCCCAGAACCCAGGCTCCGCCCCCATCCTGGGTTCCCGCTGACTTCTTCCTCTACCCCAAGTCTGAAGTGCAGACAATCTTTAGCTTCAGACTCCATACTAAGCGATATCTGTAATCTGGACTCAGCCCCACACCTAGGTCTCCACCCACCCCTCCCCATCTTGACATTTAACTGCACAGTAATATTCAGGCCCCTGGGGACTGGACTTCCAACCACCAGAGCCAGCCTTTATATAAAGACCTTGAAGGTTTCCTGTCCAAGCAAAGTGGGGCCTTCAGGTGGGAGGAGGGGGAAGTAGGTGAGGGTCAATTGGAGTGTCTGTAGGGGGAGGCAGGAATTGTGCAGGACCCAGAAAGCCCAAGGACTTTAACGGAGAGGCTTTGGGACACTCCACGTCTCAGTGCTGGAGGCTGGAGGGCAGCCTCCCTGCGATTCTGTGGCCCCACACCGGGGTCCTATACTCTGCCATCTGATCTCAGGGTGAAGTCTGAGGGATCTGGAACAGGCCAGGTGCTGATGTGGGTAGGGGTCCTCTGGTGTGTAGGCTGATTCGTGCTGGAGGGCGAGGGAGCTAAGTCCATTTGTACTCCCAGAAAGATCTATCGCACAGTCTTCAGGAGCTGTCCCTTCCCATCACCTGTCTGGTTAAACTTGCGCTTGCCCATTGGAGGAGGGAGGATGGTTCTAGAAAGACTGTGCCGACTGTTGGATACTGTCAGCAGGAAGCCAGGCCCTGATGCAGAGAGGAACCAGCTGCTCACTTTGCTCTTTGGTTCTTTGTGCCCTTGATGAAAGAATGAAGCCAAGGCACATAGGTGGCCACACAGAAGTCTAGGTAGAATTTATTGTAAAGCAGATGGATATATAGCGAGTTAGGCCTTCCAGAGAGCAGGCCAGCAATGCCACGAAGGCATCTGCCCCAAGTGGGAGTTTGGATGCCTTTTTATGCACACAAAAGTTACTCCTGAGTTTTTGGGAAGTATGATGATTATCCCTTCTATTTACATACTGTATTTTCCTATCAACATTTTTTTGTACGGGTTACTCTGAAATGTTGATATCTCAAAAATGTCTCCCTTGTTCCTTTCAGGTGGTCAGTCTAGGAAGTAGACCACGTCTCAGCTCAAGAAGGGAGGGTCTTTAAAGAACGCTCCCCTATATAATATCATTGAGCATAGGCCGTAGCACCCAGGAATGCTGCCTGCCTTACTTTGGAAATACAGTGCTACTTCAGTTCACAAACTTGATTCTTCCCACGAGTCTGATCCCAAACTGAGTTGGATATGAATGGAATCAAATTCAGTGGTTGTGTTCAATGTTGACCTGTGGGGAAATTTGATTCGGTTCTCATCCAATTCAGAGAGAATTGAGTTTCTGAACTGAGGCACAGCCAGGTGGCAGATAGCAAAAGGCATGCATGCAACATATGACCTTAAAATGCCATCGTGTTTGGCGGGATCCCTTTATCTGTAATCTGGACTCAGCCCCATAGGCCGAAGACCTAAGAAATTATCATATAGTATACATTGAATTCTTCATTTCTTTCCTTAAGTGTAACTGGCAAAGCATGCTATTTTGGACACATACACCCCTTCTTCCTCAGGCCCACTAATGTCTAACCTGCCTAACATATACAACAGGTTAAATGGGAGCCCACGCCACACAAAGAGGAAAAGTGCGAAATAACCTGCATGCCTAGCATGACCCCAGTTCATCATGCACCCTGGAACATAGCCTTTCTCATAGCCATGAAAGGAAAACAATTCCCTGGAAGACTTGGGCCTCCCTAAGGCCAGAATTTCTAACTATCTGTTCACCGGGTCAGATGTGTTTTGGCTGCTAGGACTTTTTCCTCTCATCTTGGATCACAAGTGGGTTTTAGGCTTCTGTAGAAAACACCTTTGGTTTCCCAGAAGCTTACTCTGGAAGAGATTTTTAGAGCCCTTTTCTCTATAGCTAAGCCCTTTTCTCTACAGCTGAGTTTGCTTTCTCTCCTGCAGATAAACTCCTGAAGGCGCTGAAAGATGAGAAGTTACAAGGACTGAAGACCAGGCCACTCGGAAAGAAGCTGGCCTTGCTGTCCTGAGGAGCTGCTCTCCAGAGCCGGGAACCCCCACTTAGGTTTTAGTGCTTAGATAACAAGTCCCATTTACTGTGATTGCAAAGATGGTTATTTTCTGTCCATATTTACTGCTGTCATTGCTCCCAGCATGTGCTCCACATGGAGTACCTGCGGTGTGGTCCATCGCAGGTCTCTCTCCTCTGTGCTGCTGCTGGGGGAGCTCCCTGCGGGGTCTGGAAGCTGCTACTGCACTGGCTTTCAGGGTCTCAAGACTCCAGAGGAGGGGACACCCAAACTGCTACAGCACGAAAACCACCAGGATGGATGTGTAGGAGGGAGGTGGGAGAAACCAAGGGGATGAGGTTTTAGGAAGATCAATTTAGTTTGGAATAAATGAGCCTGGAGTTTAGAGAAAGGCCTGGACTGCAGTATAAATTTAGGGAGTTGCTGACGTGTGGATGTATTTAAAGGGTGAGATTAAATGAGTCCCTTTGGGTGCCCGGAGGAAGAAATAGAACCATTTACATTTGGATATTCCTTTACACAAAACTCAAAACCAAAAATGTAAAACTTTCTGAGCACCAACATTTCCACCGTAAGTGGAGAATTCTATATCATGGAACTTTGTTTTGCGCACAAAATTATTTTAAATAGTGCATAAAATTACCTGTAGGCTGCTATATGTGGTATAAAGAAAACATCAATGAAAGTCGTGTTTAGACTTGGGTCCTATCCCCAAGATAGCTCATTATGTATAATACTTAAAGATACTACTCCAAATCTGAAAAAAATGTCCGTAAGTCAAAACACTTTTCAAGCATTTTAGATAAGGGATATTCAGCCTGTATTGAACTTCATGGTGCTCAAGAGTTTGGGGAAAGAGGAGGAACCTCCAAAGAGAATGAAAAGGAGTGGCCAGTGAGGTAGGCATCTTAGACATCAAGTGAAGAACGTTACCAAGGAGGAGAGAGCAGTCAGCTCGGATGAATAGCGCTGGCAGGCCAGTGAGTCTGAGAAGTCACTCAGAGTTAGTGACACAAATTTAGCATTGGTGATAGTGTCGAGAACAGTTTTGCTTGAGTGATGGGGTTAATGCCTGAGTGGCATAGTTTTCAGAGAGAATGGGAAGAGCTGAATTGGAGACGATGGGCGCATATCATCCCTTAGAGCATTTGCCTGCACAAGAGGGCAACCAGGAGGCTGGAGCTGCCTGGGCCAAGGGCACAGTAAGAGAGGCTTTCATTAAGACAGAGGAGAAACTGCGTACTTGTGTTCTGAGGAATGATCTGGGAGAGAGAAATCATGATGATGGTGGAGAGAATGGAAGTCGCTGGAATGGCATCCTTGAGTCGGTAAGAGGCCTGATGCCTTAGTCTGTTTGCATAGTCCTGGAAACACACCAAGGCTGGGAAATTTATAAAGCACAGAAATTGATTTCTCCTAGTTCTGGAGGCCGGGAAGTCCAAGATCATGGCGCAGGAAGCATGGGAGCCTTGTCTCTCTGCTTCCAAGATACTCCCTTAAGGGCTGTGCCCATGGAATGTGTCCTTATGTGGCAGAAGGACAGTAGAGGAGATGAAGCCCAAGTTACAAGCCTCTTTTGAAACTCTGTGCATTCATTCATGAGAGAGGAGCCTGCATGACCTGCACACCTCCCAAAGGGCTTGCTGTCCA